TACAGCACAGGTGGCAGTGACAGGTGTGGATTACAGATATCTTAGGTCCCATTCAGCCCTCAGACCTGTAATTTGTAAGGAGAGGGGAGTTCAAACTTTGACAAAGAGTTAAGAAGTTCATAGGCTCAATACCTTTCCTACCTCTAGGAAAATTTCTCCAAAGGAAAGAAGTTGTCAAAAGCAAGAAGTTTGATGCACCAAGATGCCCTCAGTGGTGCTACTGGTAACACCAAACCTCTAGGAATAACAGATATCTTTATCTGAAAGAGAAATAGAGAACCATAGATACCAAAGCAATGCAATGTTATGTGCCCATCTAAAAATGGAAACTCTAGTTGGAATAGAAATGTGGGTAAATGCTTACAATGTAACGAACAGCTACCTATGAATGTAGATGAGAAACGGAAGGTCATATACTTCTATACTTGTAGAAAAGTATAGAAGGCTATATGGTCAGAATAAAACTATGAATGGTAATGGTGCAATCGGCTATCAAGTGGGATTTCTACTGTAGTCCCAGAATTATAGTTTATATCCAAAGCTAAAAATAAGACATAAAATAATTCTGCTTTCTAAAAAGAGCTACCTGTGAGACAGAGTTGGAATCAAACTCCTTCCCACAAGGACCCAAAGAGGGGGCAGATTGAGCCCCACATCCCAAGGTCCACTGCTGCCTCCTCCCCAGAAGAAGTGGAGGCAGATGGGTTGAGTTTTGGTCTTTGACCTTCTGAGGGCAAAGGATTCACAAAGAGAAAGCATTTCTACTCCCCAGGGGTGTCTACAAGAAAAGAAACTGGCATCTCAATTTCCTAAAGAGACGTCTGCTGAAATTACAGATCCCATGGCCACCCATTGGTACCACCTTCTAAGCAGGGAGAGGTGGGACAGTTCTTAGAAAAGACTAACATGGGCAGCCCTAAGATGGGGGATGTATTATTTAGACCAGAAATGCCCAAAAGAACTCTTTATGATAATGGAAATGTTTCATATCTGTGCTGTCCAATATGGCAGCCACCAGACACATATGGTTATTGAGCACATGAAATTCAGCCAGTGCAACTGAGGAATTAAATGTTTAATTACATTTTCTTTTATTGATTGATTGATTGATTGATTGGATGTTCTTATGGCTTTATTACTTCTCTCTTTCCGTTGTGGCAGGACCTCATTAGCTGGAGAACTGGAAGGAAGGCCAAGAAGCTGTGGTTTCAGTACGGGTCATTAAAGGGGTACAGAGGATGCCCTGCACCCCTTAGGACTCTTTTCCCATCCACCGTAAGCACAGACACAATACGTTGCCAGTTTTTGTTCAGGACATTTGGCTGCTTCATCTCTTCCGAGCCAAAGGTGAAGTCAAACACCTTGATGTTCTGAAGGATTTGAGAAGGAGTGATACTTTTGGGGATGCAGATCACTTTCCGCTGGGCCTGCCACCTGAGCAAGATCTGAGCTGGAGATTGGCTATATTTTTCAGCCAATGCCAGGACTACTGGTTCCTCCAGGACAGGTTCATTAGGATCGCACCATGCATGATCAGAGGAGCCCAAAGGGCTATAAGCAGTTACCTCCAGGCCACGTGCTTGGCAGTGGGCAATTAGCTCATTCTAAGCCAAGTATGGGTGGCATTCTACCTGCAAGGCAGCTGGACTCACGGAGGCCACACTGCGTATGTCATCAATCTGCTGACTGTTGAAGTTGGACAGGCCCAGAGCTCACACCAGCCCCTTAGCTACCAATGCCTCCAGAGCCCTCCAAGTCTCCTTGTAGTGGGTGGAGTCATAGCGTATAGTCCCACCAGCATTCTTGGGGAAGGGATTGTCTCCCCGCTCGAAGGCATAAGGCCAGTGCATCAGGTACAGGTCCAGATACTCCAGCTGGAGGTCAGCCAGAGTCTTCTGGAGGGCAGGCTCGACATCCTCGGGGTGGTGCTTGGTGTTCCACAGCTTGGATGTCACAAACAGCTCCTCCCAAGGCACTGCCTTGCCTGGTCCCATGTCCTCTTTCAGGGCCTCCCCAGTCTCAGGCTCACTGCCGTAGATAGCAGCACAGTCAATGTGGCAGTAGCCTACACTAAGGGCATACTTAACCGCTGCTTTTACCTGACCAGGCTCACTCTTCCAGGTACCCAGACAAATCAGGGGCATCTTCTGCCCAGTGTGCAGGAGAACACAGGAAACTGCCATTGCCCTCTTGGCACAAGCACAGAGCATGAACAGCATAGTGTAGCCTGGGCTCAGTTCTACACCCTGCCAGAGAGCCAGCGGGCCTCAGCTTAAGTCTGGCGGTGATGAGGCAGCTCCACCTATTTTAATTATTTTTTAAGAGACATGGGTCTCACTCTGTTGCCCAAGTTGGTCTCAAACCAAGTTCAGGTGATCCTCCCGCCTCAGCCTCCTAAGTAGCTGGGACTACAGTTGCAAGCCAGTAGGCACTAATTTTAATTCTTTTAAATTTAAATAATTACCACCTGTGGCTAGTGGCTACCATATCAGACAGTGCAGCACTAGACATTTCTGCAGGTAGGGGATCACTAGATGACCTACATCCAAACAGCTTGAGGGTATCAGAGGTGTGTGAATCAGAGTAACTCCATCTTGAATAGAAGCTGGGTAAAATGAGGCTGAAAACTACGGGGCTGCATTCCCAGATGGCTAAGGCGTTCTAAGTCACAGGATGAGATGGAAGGTCAGCACAAGATACAGGTCATCAAGACCTTGCTGATAAAACAGGATGCAGTAAAGAAGCCAGCCAAAACCCACCAAAACCAAGATGGTCACAAGAGTGACCTCTGGTCGTCCCCACTGCTACTCTCCCACCAGCTCAGTGACAGTTTACAAATGCCATGGCAACATCAGGAAATTATCCCGTATGATCTAAAAAGAGGAGGCATGAGTAATCCACCCCTTGTTTAGCATATCATCAAGAAATAATCATAAAAATGGGCAACCAGTAGCCTTTGGGGCTGCTCTGTCTATGGAGTAGCCGTTTTTTTATTCCTTTACTTTTCTTTTTTTTTTTTTTTTTTGAGACGGAGTTTCACTCTTGTTACCCAGGCTGGAGTGCAATGGCATGATCTCGGCTCACCGCAACCTCCACCTCCTGGGTTTAGGCAATTCTCCTGCCTCAGCCTCCAGAGTAGCTGGGACTACAGGCACGCGCCACCATGCCCAGCTAATTTTTTGTAGTTTTTAGTAGAGACGGAGTTTCACCATGTTGACCAGGATGGTCTCGATCTCTTGACCTCGTGATCCACCCGCCTCGGCCTCCCAAAGTATTCCTTTACTTTTCTAATAAACGTGCTTTCACTTTACCGTATGGATTCGCCCTGAATTCCTTCTTGCACAGGATCTAAGACCCCTCTCTTGGGGTCTGGATCAGAACCCCTTTCCTGTAACAAGGGGTCATTGAAGTAGTGGGTCTGAGAAGGAAATGGGGATACTTCCCACTCCGCCCCAGATCTCCACCCGCCCAGAGAATACAAGAAGTGTCCCCTATGCCCATGGCTGCAAGGGAAGTCTTGAGGGCCAGTGGATGGCACAAGTCCTCTGTGTCTAGATGACCACCAGAAAAGGGGCCAGAGGGGTGCCATCCAAGGAGTCAATTAGACCAGGCTGCCTCTCAGTGGCAGGGATGACCCTGAAGACAAGCCAGAGGACTCCATCCTCACCATTCGCAGAGAAATCACTCACAACAGAAGAATCAAACAAGCCACACCAACACCAGGGAGACCTTCTCTGCTTTAAGCTCTCCTAGCCAAAAGTCAATAAATCTGCCCAAGTTGTCAGTAAAAATGGAAAAGAAGACACTCCGCATATCTCAATTAAACTAAAAGTAAGCTGCTTCCTTCATGTTTATACTTCCACGAGTTTAGATTTTTCAGCCAACCCATCACAACAGTTCTCAAGCATGATATATCTGTATAAGTTATTTAATTTATAAGAGGCAGATATTTTCAACTCTGTTTTACGGAGGAAGAAACTGAGGCTCAGAAAAGTTGAATGAATCACCCATGATCCCACAGATAAGTGACAAGGCTAGAATGGGAACTCATATCTTTGTCATTCCAAAATTTTCTTGGATACTGCCAAGTCATCTGTTGAACAATAAAATCGTCATTTAAAAAAAAGCTAAAAAAAATGCAAGTAAAAGTTAGTAAAATCCAAATAAGGTCTGTATGAAGTCAACAGTATTGTACCAACGTCAATTTCATACTGTGGTTATGTAAGATGCTGTCGCTGGGGGAAGTTGGGGAAGGATTCAAGGAACTTCTGTACCACAATTTCTTGTGAGTCTTCAACCATTTCAGAATCTCATTTAAAAAAAAAAAAAATCTAGGCCGGGTGTGGTGGCTCAAGCCTGTAATCCCAGCACTTTGGGAGGCAGAGGCGGGCAGATCATGAGGTCAAGAGATCAAGACCATGGTGAATCCACGTCTCTGCTAAAAAAAATACAAATATTAGCTGGGCGTGGTGGCGGGCACCTGTGGTCCCAGCTACTCGGGAGGCTGAGGCAGGAGAATTGCTTGAACCTGGGAAGTGGAGGTTGCAGCGAGCCAAGATCGTGCCACTGCACTCCAGCCTGGTGCCTGGCAACAGGGCAAGACTGTCTCAAAAAAAAAAAAAAGTAATATTGGATTTTTGAAGTTATGGAAATAACATTTATTGTGTATTTCTCACATCAAAGTACTAGTGTAGATACCAACAAAATCTCACATTTTGATAAGTATTTTAAACTCAAGCTGTCTTTAAATCCTGTTCTTACTATTTATTTCAATTTACTCTTTAAAACATAATATGTTTTAAAGTTAGGCTTTAATATATATCTTTCAGGACGGGCACAGAGGCTCATGCCTATAATCTCAACACTTTGGGAGGCTGAGGCGGGTAAATCACTTGAGGTCAGGAGTTAAAGATCAGCCTGGCTGACATGGCAAAACTCCGTCTCTAACAAACAATATAAAAATTAGCTGGGCGTTGTGGTATGTGCCTGTAGTCCCAGCTACTTGGGAGGCTGAGGTGGGAGAACTGCTTGAACTTGGGAGGTGAAAGTTGCGGTGAGCTGAGATCACACCACTGCACTCCAGCCTGGGTAATATGACAGAGTGAGACCCTGTCTCAAAAAAAAAAAAAAAAAGAAAAACAATATGTATCTTTCAAACTATACCTAAAAATAAGTAGCAACATTCCTCAGATACTGAGGTATTAGCACAGGTTCTGATCCATCACTTACAAATATTAAAAATACACTTTTTCTAAATAATGATGCAATGGGCATATAATCTCTCCATTTTGTTCTGAAGAGTCATGAGACTTTATGTGGCTTTGCTGCTGGTAGTTACACAACAAGCTTCATCTCTCTGGATCATCAGCAAAAAATAACCTGCCCCCGCCCCTTATCCCTCACCCCACGCAGTTCTGGACTGTTGGATGCTCCACGATCCACATCAAACAGGCAGGGGGTCTGCAATGCCAGGACATAACCAGCAGCATCAGCCCAGATGCACAACAACATGCCAACAACAGAGACCAGGAACATTTTTGATCCCTTGCAGGGAGGGTTGTTTGTGAGTGTTCAGTCCTGGCTTGATGAGTCACTCATTAGGAAAGAAGAAGCATGACTTTTTTTCTATTGATTCCAGGAAGATTTCAGGTGGGAGGGAGGGATTTCAAGAAGTCAAGAAAGTCAAAGCCAAGGGGGAGAATAAGGCTTGGCCAATCTGTTTAAATGGGATGCTCTTGAGGCAAGTGAGAACGTAGGTGCTGAGTGGAAAACAGGAAAGAAAACTGGTTAACAAGAACAGGGATGCTTGGGGCAGGCATCTGGTACTTTTTATCCCTGGCTTAATTTTCTCTCTCTCTCTCACACACACACATACACACACACACACACAAGATGGCAAGGGAGGTAGACTGCAAAAAGGTATGAGAAATAATCAGAAGCAAAATATAGCTTAATTTTTCTCTCCCAACTGCACTCATCCCCAGCCCAGTGAAATGGGGAGGCTGAAAGAAAAAAAAAAAAAAAAAACAGAGAAGACAGATGAAAAGACAAGAGGCCAGAGAGATAAGACAATGTCTTCAAGGCAGTGTGATATTGCCTTAAGAGCAGGCAAGTTGATCAATGGAATGGAATGGAGAGTCTTGAAGTATAACCACATACACATGGCCAACTTATATTTGATGAAGATATCAAGAAATTCAATGGGGAATGGGTGGTCTTTTCAACAGATGATGCTGGAACAACTGGATATTCACATGGAAAATAAAGAGTTTCCAACCTTACTTTACATCATATGCAAAAATTAATGTGAGATAGATAATAAACCTATCAGAAAAGCTAATTATAAAGCTTCTAAAAGAAAATAGGAGAATATTGACAACTTTGGGATTGGCAAAGATTTCTTAGGACACAAAAAGCACTAAACATTAAAAAATGCTTAGGCCAGGGGTGGTGGCTCATGCCTGTAATTCCAGCACTTGGGGAAGCCTGGGCAGATCACGTGAAGTTAGGAGTTTGAGACCAGCCCGGCCAATTTGGTGAAACTTCATCTCGACTAAAAGTACAAAAATTAGCCTGGCATGGTGGCGCACATCTGTAAACCCCCTACTTGGGAGGCTGAGGCACAAGAATCACTTGAAACAGGGATACAGATGTTGCAGGGGTGGTGGCTCACACCTATAATCACAGCACTTTGGGAGGCCAGGGCAGGCAGATCACTTGAGGTCAGGAGTTTGAAACTAGCCTGGCCAACATGGTGAAATCCCGCCTCTATTAAATATACAAAAAATTAGCTAGGCATGGTGGCACACGCCTGTAATCCCAGCTACTAGGAAGGCTGAGGCAGGAGAATTGCTTGAACCTGGGAGGTGGAGGTTGCGGTGAGCCCAGCAGCACCACTGCACTCCAGCCTAGGTGACAGAGCAAGACTCCACCTCAAAAAATAAAAATAAAATAAAATAAAAATTTTTTAAAAAGATAACCCAATTTTAAAATAAGCAAGAGATTTGAATAGATGATTTACATAAAATGGAGAGAAACAGTCAATAAGTCCAAAAAAATGTTTGCCATATTTAGTCATTAAAGATACACAAAGAAAACATGATGAGACAACATTTCATAACTATTAGGATGAATAAAGTTACATGCCTGACAATATTAAGTGGTAGCAAGGAGATAGGGCAGGATTTCTCAACCTCAGCGCTATTGACCTTTCCAGCTGGATAACCCATTCCTGGGGACTGTAATGGGGGCTGCCCTGGGCATTGTGAAATGCTTAGCAGCATCCTTGGTCCCTCC